TTTTTTTTTTTTTTTTTTTTTTTTTTTTTTTTTTTTTATTTTTTTTTTTTTTTTTTTTTTTTTTTTTTTTTTTTTTTATTTTTTTTTTTTTTTATTTTTTTATTTTTTTATTTTTTTATTTTTTTATTTTTTTATTTTTTTTATTTTTTTAATAGAACACACGATGAAACCTTAAAAGTTTGTGGAAATGTATCAGCCGAAGTATTTAGTGCTCCTTTTAAAGTATATTCTGCAAAAAAATTTCCGGGTATGACAGGTATGAAAAATGTGCAAGGAATGATTACATTTCAGATTTTGATCCAATTGTAAAAAAAATATTTTTCAATAAATAAATTTTTTATTCAACATTTAATTTTTTTAATTTTAATTTTTTTAAATTATCTCATATTAGAATCGACTGCGCTTTCTAAAGCTTTTGCTAGTCAGGGAATTAAACTTACTATTCGTAAAGACTTTCGTTATCAAAGAACAAATAATGCTAATAATGATGAATTACCCAATCAAACAAATGAATTTGCCACTCCTTCAACTCCAAATAGTATCGTTAAACTTGATATCGATAATCAAGAGGATGATGCTGAAGAACCTTCCGATACCGATTCATTTAATGAAAAGATAAAACAAGAACGATAAATAGTTTAACTATTTATTTATTAACCTTTTTTTATTTTCTCATTCTTTCAAAATTTTTTTTTATTTCTGTTACATCCAGCGTTATGAACTATTTTATTTAATTGATTGAGCTTTTCTTTTCATTCATTCATTCTTATTATTTATGCAAATCTAATCGTAAAGATTTTTTTTTCGTTTGATTAATTTTAATTCAATTATTATATTCAATTGCCGTATTTGTTTATGCAGAAAATTTATCGTTAAAAAAAAAAATTTTTTTATCTTGTCATCTTACTAGTTATTTTATGTCTTTTACGTACCTCAACTTATATTTACGATTTTTTTTTTTTTTTTGGAATCACGACGAGTGATGTAGAATTTTGACGTGTGAGTTATATGGAAGTGTGACGTGAGTTATATGAAATTGTGACGTGAGAGTTATGTTACTTTTAATATGTATTCAAGTTATTGGCATAGTCGCTAATGGTATGAAATAAAAAAAAAACAATAGGATCATGCTAATAATATGCATTATACGCGGATCGTTATCGTTATTGAAAGTTTTACTAAATTTTATGGGTATCAATTCTGGAATGTTCTACCAGAAATCATTAAAGTGATCATTTAAACAATGATTGGTTTCTATTTATGTTTTATTAACTTTTCGTTAATGTTCTACACGGTTCGGTTCGAATTTACTTCCAGTTAGATTAATGCTATGCGTTTGAAATTACTTAAATACGTCATTTATCAACCAAATGGTATTATATTAGTTAAAGATCAGATGATTAAATACGTATATGGGCGTTGTTCAATAGAAAAAGGGGAAATCTCCTCTTTAGATCCGGTCAAATTGACCAGATTTAAAAAGTAAATTTCTTCCTCCTCTACTGAACAGCGCCTTAAAAATTCGAAATTTTTTTTGATAAAACTTAGCCAAAATTTGGGGCAAATTTAATAAATTTTAGACGAATTTTTTAATTTAAATTTAAAAAAAAATTATAAGTTCGTTCATTTGTTTTGTTAAAATACCATATTGTAAACATTTTTAATGATTCAGTACTTGAATTTTGACGATTGTTTTGAAGAATGCACAAGTTTGTAATTTATGCAATCTTGACCAAATATGCCAAATATGTATAAAACCGATTAGGAATCAAATCGTACTATGTCTTAGAAGTTAAATAAGTTTGTACGAAAATTTTTATTTAAAAATAAAATACGTATCACTAGGAACGAGCAAATCGAAGATTTTTTGAATCTACTGCACAGTCTACACAGGCCCACATTATGGTAGTTTGCTGCTAATGCGGGCCAGAATTGTAAAATTCTGAAATATTTCACCTGTACAGTGTCCTATCTATATATACCACAAACTAATATAATATGGAAATTTTTATAAATTCTTTAGATTTTAGAAAATTTTAGAAAATTTTGGAAAATTCAAGTTGATACTTAATTTTAGATTTTTTGTGTGAAAATTTTATATCAAAAATTTTACGGGTCCCGATATGCGGGTCATACCTCATAGAAGGGCTTTCATCTGATTGGCTGATGTAAATCAATTGCCCGGGTAACTTATTTATACATTTTAAAGTACTTTTTAAGAACATAACGTCTCACTAACAAAAAAATCGCCGTGAAAGTAATTTCTAGCTCTAAATGAACATAGATGTTCACTCTTAAAATTAATTCAAAATAATCCATTCTTCCAAGAACTTTACTTAGAAGTGGATATTTTTATTATATATTGCTAGTACCAGTTATATTAACTATACGTAATTTTCAAAAGACCGGTCTGGACCGGTCTTTGGACCGAGACCGATCGGGACCGTGGACAAACTGTTTGGACTGGTCTAGGACCAGTTTACACAGCTCACCCCAAAATTTCCACTCACGTGATCGGATTTCATCAAAACAATCGAATAAAGTGCAAGATTTAAAGTATTAAAACCTCATTGTTAGGTTAGAATAGGGTTAGAGAAGAACTTGACATATGTTAAAATTTCGCAAGGAATTTTTTTTATTAAAGCATCATATATGAAAATTCGTTTTTTTGAAGAACCGTGAGATCTGATTGGTCAAAATAACGTGCGTGGAAAATTTTTTGGGGTGAACTGTATAACCCGGTTAATAATGTCCAATCAAATTTCTCGAATGAAACGGGGAAGATCATGTGATAGACCGGGACCGGGTCCATTAATACAGTCCTCATAGGACCTGCATCCTTACGTAATTTCTAAACGGTCAACAAAAAAGGACAATGTAAGCTTTAAACTTAAAGAACTTTGTATATATTGTTTGACATGTTATTGTATATATTGTTTGACATGTTATTCTAATAATAGATCTGTATTAACAGTTAATGCTTATTTTGCGCATTTTGAATATTAAACTGTTAGAACTGTTAGATTCAGTAAGCGTAACTTTGGGTTAGGCAATAGGTCAATAATATGTATAAATTCTGTTGCACTATTAATTATATGGGTTAAGGTTATGCCATGTATTTAATAAAGGTCATAATGACTAAATATAAAAATATTTGCGTATATTTATTGGTTTATAACTTCTTTAAAGTCTTCGTTTTCTAGTAAGTATTAAAACGATAAACCTTTTGTATTTTGATTGGTTAAGTATCACGGGAGATCACGGGTAGATCTGCAGAAATTAGCCAATCAGACAGATACCAAATATTCCGGTATTAAGCAAAAAAATTATTATTTGGGCAGCTTAGTATGTTGGCTACCATTTTATTAGACTTATTTCGACCTCGGATCTTGGATCTGTTGAATTTTGGTTGCTCCACTAATCTATCCAGTCACGATCAAGATCAGGTGTAACGTAACTCGATCAGGAAAATTCAAAACAAACGTTCGTTCTATCAAAAATCGCCTATAACCCAAAATTTAGTCTATGAAACTGTCTTCTGCACATTAATTAAAAGTTTTTCTTGTAAAATTTTGCTATATGAGACAGTTTTTAGACATCAATCTAATGGCAACATCCTAACCCTAACCTAAAAAACCGAAATTTTGCTTGAACCATTTTTTGGTGACGATTCAACCCTTGTCGTATCCATCAGGACTTTATTAGTAAACCTTTTAGTGACCTTGGACAAAATTAGTTAATTCCGGACCCGCCGATCATGATTCCGACTCGGAATTTCGGTACTCGCAACTAAGGCTGTAAATTACCTATTTTTGTGGCCCGGCCCGTATTTAATATTACAGCTGTTTTCATAAATTCTAAAATCTGGCAATAAACTGACAGACCGATTCGATAAGTTTTAATTAGGCAGTGAATCAAAAGTTTTTCTAAACATATCGAATCGGCAAATATTCGGTCGGTTATTCGGTCGGTTAAAAAATAAAAAAAATAAATAAAAATAAATAAAAAAATAAAAAAATAAATAAAAAATAAAAAAATAATAAAAAAAATAAAAAAAATAAAAATAAAAAATAAAAAATCAAAAAAAAATAAAAAAAAACAATAAATAAATAAATAAAATAAAAAATAAAAAGATAAAAAAATAAAAAAAATAAATAAAAAAAACAAAAAATAAAAAAATAGAAAAATTAAATTTTTGCGAATTTTCCAGAATTTGTAAAAACAGCTGTAAAAATTTTTTGCCAGCCCGGCCCGCACATATATTAATATTTCTTCGGCTAGCCTGACGCACAATTTTTGCGGGCCAGGCCACGGGAACCTTTACTCGCCACCCAAAATTTTTCAAAGTAATAAGATTAGGGTTTGTAATTTGTTAATAAGTTAGGGCTTAAAACCAGTGCACAAAATTGCCGAGTCATGTAATATGATTTTTCTCCGAAAGTGTTTTTTCCTAACTGGAATTTAATAAATCATAGCCGGAAGTCGTTATGATAAATGACGGAGATTTTCCGTCTGTTGAAAAATCGGGGTGGAAAGTGACATCATCAAGCGGAAATTTCCATCATTTTACGATAGGATTTGCGCTTTGTTAAAACTATTTCTTACCCCAAAATTTTGCAATGAAATTTTTTTATTCGTGCACGGAGGGCGGTTCATAGACTAAATTTTGAGTTATGAACGATTTTTGACAAAACGAACGTTCGTTTTGAATTTTCCTAATCGTATTACGTTACGCCTGATCTTGAAATTTGTAGCATAATTGGGTGAGGACTTAGCCCCTATTTCTCCATCTCAGTCCCGGTTCTAAAAAAACACGAGAACTGAAGTGTTAGGACGTAAAAAAATCAGATCCGGTCTCAACTCGACTCTAGGAGTCGGAGTCTTAATTTGTACTCGGTCCCAAGCATTTTGGGACTGTAACGGATATATGATAAATTAGTAGGGTACGGAAGCGCAAATTGGGACGAACATGTGGAAATAATAATAGTACGTACGGTTTGTAGAAGAAAAAATTCATTCGTAAAAAAAAGCCAATTTTTCTATAACCCCACACGAAAAAAGAACAATGCTCGCACTTGCCCTAACCCTAAACATAAAAAGGGGTTTACTTCTAAAGGATTATGTCTCGTGTTTCATTTGGAATGATGATGTGACGAATCATCAATGTGACGAGTAAGCATTGGATAAATAACTATATTAACTAATGCTTATTAAACACACCAATGATTAGTCACATCCTTGTGCCAAACAAATTAAATATTAATTTTACAAACCTATGTTAACTGTATGCACTGTCAAAATTTTACTTAATTTTCATGTCTATATAAATTTGTACAATAGTACAGTACTACTTTACTAATTACCTTTAAATCGTTGTTATAGGAACACTTGAAGAAGAGTGAACCCCTTATATCACATTTTTATATAATCACATATATATATACGTGTGATTATAACGTATTCCACTGGTAGTACAGACCGTAGTACAAACCCTATCCCTAACTTTATGAATATATATGAGATATTATAAATGTGATCATATAGAAATGTGATATAAGAGGTTCACGCTTTTTCAATCTATCCAAACTTTATTTGGATTTTTTAAATTGTCATATGCTAGAAAGAACTTTATT